TATAATTATGTATCAAGTCAACCTTTATAATTAAATAAGCTTGATTAGACATATATTTTTTATTTGTTCAGATCAATTATCAACCAAATTATCATTAAAAAATATTATTGCTCCGCGCCAGCTATTTGTGTTTACTATTTTTTTTGTCCATGGGCCCGGATTTGAGCAATAAATCCTTTCGATTAACAGCTAAAAGTAAATCCGCATTTAAGAACTCCTTTCGATTTCTATATTGGTTTCCCCGTCGGTAATTCGCAGCATGTCATATTAATGAATGAGAACCGGAAAGCAGTTCTGCTGTTACATAAATTCGAAAGCTATAAATAGCTATAAATGTTTTGATTTTTGACACTTTGGTTATAAATTTGTTATTTCCCTTTTTTTGTAGTACATGAAATTATAATTTGTTACATTTTGAAATACATTTACACACAGCATATCAAGTATACTATTAGTGATTGAATTTGTCAATATAAAGAAGATTTCAGGCAAAAGATTTTAACAATTTTGCTTTTGATAATTATTTTTAATTTATATTTATGAAATTAAATGTTTAATAATAACATGTTGATATATTGGTTGTTTTGAAATAATTAAACTTTAGTATATAAGGTTACATTTCATTAGCGTCATTGGTACAGCATACCACTTTGTGATAATGGTATGACTGGTGACATGTTCGGGGGTCCGTACTCGACAGCGAAAGCTGCATTTTGTAGCCTTACGAGCGGATGGACCCTCATTAAGGTGATTCCGCTTTGTCAGCCAAGTTTGTTTTCACAAAGTCTGTGCAAAGTGAAAGTAGGCCAAAATTCATATAACAACAAAGCTCACATTGTTATATGATGAGCCATTTGCAAGTACACTTCCAATTCTATGTTTTAAAGACTATTTTAAACAAAAATAAAAATGATAACAATAAGAAATTTACCTTGAATGGGCTACATTTCTGAAGACCAAAAACATTATGTTGCAAATCTTTATGCACATTTCATGAATGGCAAAATCCAGTTTAAAGTCTATTTTAGTGCAAACAAATGCTTTTTTTTTTGCAGAAAATACAAAAAACTTAAAAAACATAAATCTTAGGAAAGTAGTTTATCTGACCTTGAAAAAACATGGCCTCCATGACATGTGTAAAAAAGTAGTACCATGAAAATAAACATCATTTACCTATTTTTTGTGTACATGACAAACAGACACACTTCACTGTTACACATAAAAAGGTTAAATTTTAAAGTTTGATTGTGTTTTCATTTTAATTGTAGTTCATAAGGTTATAAATGATGATTGTTTTCTTGCACTACTTTTTTACAAAAAAATAATGGAGGCCATGTGCTTAGAAGGACATGAGATACTGATTTATTTGAAGTTAAGTTTTGAAAGATTTTTGTATTTGCTGCAAAAAATTGCTTTTGTTGGCACTAAAACAGACTTTTAAAAGGATTTTGCCATTCATGAAATGTGCATAAAACTTTGCAACAGAATGTTTTTGGTCTTCAGAAATGTAGCACATTCAAGGTAAATATTCTTATTGTTATCATTTTTATTTTTGTTTATAATTGTCCTTAAAATATAAACCTGGAAGTGTAGTTTCAAATGGTTCATCATTTTACAATAAGAGCTTTGTTGTTATATGAATTTTGGCCTACTTTTACTTTGGACAGACTTTAGTTAAAACTAACATGGCTGACAAAGCGGAATCACCTTAAGCATAGGCTAAAGATAGATATCATGACAACAACAGAAACTTTGATCTGCAGTTTGAACATGAAGTGTAATGTTTTTTATGAATGGTTTTAAAGCAATTCAACAAAAAATATATATTGATCTCCCTAAAAATTAATTAACAATAGTTTTTTTATATTACCAATGTCAAATAGCTTTCATATCTTTGTCTCGCACGAATATGATATTAGTGAATTTCCTCATACCTACCTAAAATTCAGGTAACAGTCTTCTATTATATTGTTGTATCATAGTTGAAATACCTTTCTGTTGAAAATGTGTCAGGGTTAAATCGTATACATATACATGCACAGTGCGTTAACTGGAGTGCGGGTATTAGTTACCTGCACTCCAGAGCATGCCCGTTGATTGGCTCATTTTTGCTGGGGTTTACATATTGTGACGGCAGAGATAGGGAAAGCGACAGAAATATCATATTCAGATGTTCGTTCATTGGTTCATTTTTGCCGGGGTTTCATATTGTGACAACAGGGAACGTGTTTTTATGTTTGACTATGATACAAAAGAGAAAGAACACCAAACACTCGGTATTCTGATTAATACTCGGGGGCTACGCCCCCTCGTACAAATCAGATAACCTCGTGTTTCGGTGCTCTTTCTATTACATAAATACTGTATCACCATGTAACGCGTGTATAACAAACAAACAAAATCCTGAATTTGGTCTTTTGGAAATTCATCCCATTTTTTCATTCCAGAGTGTGTTCTACTTTCAGTTTTGAAAGAAACCATTTTTTTTAATTTGACATGAAAAATATGCATGTAATATTACTATATTATAATATTAGTCCCTTTTGTTACTATTTGTATATTTGTTACAATTATAACAGACTTTGATATTTCTATCATCTATCTTCTGTTACTGAAACAGAACACAGTACAGTCATGTCACATAACATTTACAAGTCTTGTAAGTCTTGTTTGTATTCAATGGAATTACTTTCCTTGCCAGGTAGGCATCAGTGAAAGCATTTTTATATTCAATATTTTTCCCCTCTTTTTAATTATGGACAGTGCATAAGATAAGTATAATTATGCAAAAAATAGTTTACAAAACATTCGGAAAAATGTACAATAGTACTTAATCTGAATATAACATGACCTGTGCGGAGGAATAATTTGGTAAGGTATCTGTAATGAGCACAATTTTTTGCGCGGAGCTTCTCAATTGCAGCATTGCAGCAACATTTGTACTTGTTAGTTTAGCAGTGTTCATTATAATTGTGGTAAATTATCAACTGCATAACAAATATAACAAGCAATTATCATAGTATTGCAAGCAATCCATAAGTCCCCAACCGGTTAGAACCCCAGTTTTCTCAGGATGAATAAGCATAACAAATGTTTCAATTTTTCTCAATTTTAAGTAAATTTGTTGGAAAAAAATCTTTAAAAGTCATCTCAGGAAACAGTTTTTATGAACTGACAGACTGAAGGAGATTCTAAACTTATTCTTTTTAAACATCCCTGTTACCTAAATATAACAGAAAAGATAACTCTTGAAATAAAGATGCTAGATTTATGAACATTGTCATACATGATACCATTTTTAGTCACAAAGAAGAAAAGTAATAAAATAACAATTTTCAAATATACCAATAACATGTATATTGACAAAGATGAAAATTAAAAAAAAATATAATGTAGGTGTTGATAATGAATGTTTATTTGGAATTTGAAGTAAATCCATGAAGAAATAAGAAAATTAAAGAATGGATAAGAAAAATTTAAAGTTTAAGGAGGAGACAATTCTGGAAAATTTGGAGTCTAGATTTATAAACCTTGTCATATTATTATGATGTGGGAGTTTGAAGTAAATCCTATAAGGAATGAAGAAATTGGGAGTAAAATATACCAATTTCTCGAAAAAGTTCAAGGTTGGCATAATTCTGAAAATAGTCTTGCTAGAGTATTGAACCCTCTCACATATGTTGAGTGATAATAAGAAACATACATATGAAGTTTGAAGCAAATACATTAAGAAATAAAGAAGTTTTAAAAAAAACTTCTTTTTTTTCATGAAAATTTATGAAGTTTAAGGGAAATAATTCTGATTTTTGTGCTAGAGTTGTAAACCTTGTCACATATGATGTGGTGGGTTACCAGAAACTAATATCTAAAGTTTGAAGTAAATACCTTAAGAAATAAAGAAGTTATAGTGAAAAAGCGTAAACACTGGAATCAGAAATCTTGAAATTCAGTCTATTTGTTGCCATAGCAACCAGAATTTTCAACATAGGAAGTAACAAAAAAATGTGCATAATCCCCAGACTGCCATCTACCCATACTTTAAGTTTCATTAAAAATATTTTTAGTACTTTTTACGTTATCACTGGATCCAGTTCATGTGTTAAATTTGCCATATTTTCAGTCTATTTGTTGCCATAGCAACCAGAATTTTCAACATAGGAAGAAAAGAAAAAGACGTGCATAATCTCCATATTGCCATCTATCCATATATAAAGATTCATAAAAATATTTTTAGTACTTTTTAAGTTATCGCAGGATCCAATTTTGTGGTCGGACAGACAGACAGACGGACGGACAGACGGACAGAGGGTAACCTAAAGTCCCCTCCGGTTAAACCGGTAGGGGACTAATTAAAGTGGAATAATTAGACAAAGTGTGTTTTTCATTATTGTTGAAGTTTTAAAAGTCAAATCATCAATGCCATCATTACATTTATTTAAAAAATTATTATAATTTCAAAAACACTATTACAACTCGGCCGATGGTGAGGAAGAAATATATTATGCAACTCTGTCCTTTAAGCACAGGCCTTATCAGTATAGAACTGTTGAACACAATATTTCCGAATAAAGTTCTAGCAATCACCACACAGCATAATGCAGTATGTCGCTCTCATACACACTTTATAAACAGAAAAATCATACGAGGGGGATTTTTTCCCAGGTAGCAATTTTATTGAGGGGATTTTGTCCACTTTCACACATGAACGGGATAATGTCCACCCATCGAAGGGATAATGTCCATGTATACAAAAATACATGAAGGGGATTTTGTCCGAAGGGGATTTTGTCTGAAGGGGATTTTTTCCGAAGGGGATTTTGTCTGACATTCATGAAATATGTCATATACCATGACATGAAACATGTTCCTTAAAAATTATAGAGACTAAAATAGTGATGTTTTCCCCTATTCAATTTCCATTAATGAAGTATACATATTCACCATAATGTTATCTTGTTAAATGCTTATATATGCTGATTTTTTTTTTACATTTTTGACAGAAATCGTTCAGATGTGAAGACACATATTACGATAGATGGTGTGATGAAGCTTTTAAAGTTTTTGTTGTAATAACATCATATCATACATCGGATATAGTAATACTGCACGTGAAATACAACACACGTAAGTTTTTTAATAGTACACATCCAGTCTAATACACATATAACTGTTCCTATACTTATTATTTGAAGGTTTTATTTTTTAAAACATTTTTATGTTCTGCTTAAACCGGTGCTAGAGAGCGTGGATGGGTAGCTTGCAATTACCACTACCGTCGATAAAAAGGCTCAATCAAACCGAGTCTGCAACATAGAGAATACAAAATGTCTCCATCGTATGAAAAATGCGAGATGCCTGCTATATATACCTCTACAGGTTATTATTTAAATAAGTTAAAGCTCATATTGTAATTTCTGTTTTGCCGAATCGGACGTTCTTAAATAATTCTCTATTTTATTGCATTTTAATCATAACGTTAGTATGTATTTGGCCTCGAGATAAAAATGGAAACTGATTCTTCTCATGAAATATTCAATCTATGTTATTCTTAACAGTGTTAGTAATGTATCGTGACTGAGTAGACGTGGTACATACATATTCATCCTAGTTTAATAAAATTCTGATAATTTTGATTTCATTATTCACGTGGTTAAACTAAATCAGTTTTAAACCGTGATATTTCTTAAACAATTCAACTTTTTCGGGAAGGACGTTTTGAGATGGAGTGTTGTCAGAAAGTTTGCACATTTTGTACAGCATCGTTTTATCACATTCATTTTGGAGGATCATTGTATATTCAAGGAACTCAACTGACCTACAAAGCTTACAAACATAAATTTGAACTTCTTACATTAAAAAATGAAAATAATTATTCTAAAAAATAGATGGAGGTGAAACTTCACAATTGCACTGGTCTTGTCCAGAAGGTGACTTGTATTGATTTTGAGGTAAAAGGCCAAGGTCACATTCACCTTGTATGGTAAAACGACCGATAATTGGACATCACATCGGCCCTTGGCCTTCAAACGTCACGAGGGCAATTCTCTTGGACAATAGATGACCCTTATTCATTTCGGTTAAAAGGGTCAGGTCATATTCACCTTTTATATGAAAACGGTTTACGACCAATAACTCAACGACCTATAGGCCCCTGGTCGTCAGACTTTACAGGTATATTGGTCATTGTCAGTAGATGACCCTATGGTCAAGGGGTCAAAGGTCAAGATCACATTGACCAGTAGTTGAACCCATTTATTTTAAGGTCTTAGTGTATATCAAAACTGTCTAAGACCATTTACTCGACAACCCTTGCATTGATTTTTCTCACTTGATTGGAAAGAAGCCATAGCCTCTAGATTTTGGGAAAAAATATCGCTAATATTGCTAATTTAGGAAGTAAAAAAGGCAGGTTTAAGCTTTAATTTTTGGGAAAACTGCATGATTTTAAAGAAAATTTCAATTAGGAAGAGGCTTTTGTTTCGGAGTCTGTTATATAAGCAGGGAAAGCACTGCTTTGGACCCCCTGTCTTCAAATTTCACAAATGCATTGCCCAGTAGATGACCCCAATTTATTTTACTATCGCAGGATCAAAGGTCAAGATTGCATTGACGTTGTATGTCAAAACGGTCTCAGAGCAATTACACTCATTAACCTTAACTGTCATACCAGTTTTTTTATCAATCACATGGCAACCAATATGTTCCATAATGTTTACCCTTCCACACCCATTTTAACACATTTTTGACCATTTTCTGTATAGAGCCTTATTTGAAAAATCCCTTATCCTTAAGATTTACCAAAATTAGGGGCTGTTTTCAAAGTTTCTCAACATTTTCTCAAAGGTATTTTGGTTGATCTTCTAGTTTGATTTTAGTAGACTTTGACAATATCAGGTACCATGTTTGTCATAAAGATGGCCAATAAATACTAATATAAATTATATAATTAAAATCAAACACTTTTTTTCTTTCCAAAAGGGATATAAGAGATCAAAAAAATGGTTAAAAGAAAAAAAAGAAAGGGAAAAAAGTTTACCCTTCTGGGGTTTGAACCCACGGCCCTGAGTTTTATGCAGTTGACAGTCATTCTAGCTTAATTGAGTTCTCTTCAAAGCGGATGTAATGCATAAGGATGGTCATACCTTAAGGTACTCCATCGGCGGCGTCAATTTCGAGCAATATGTTGTTCTTATGCCCTTTCTTCGTCTAAGTTTAAAATTCATGTATATCGCAGGTGACAATGCTCTTCTTTCGCTGCAGCAATCATCTTAATGACCACACCCTCTAGAGTTGGTCACGAAAGGTCACCTATACACTCCTTGTTCCAACGTGACAACATGCAGCTCGACGTTTGGCGTGCATCGTGAGCGACAGTACGACAAGACGACGGTACGACAACGCGCCGTTTTGCGCTTTGTCTTGCTGTCGCTAGAGACAACACGACGCACAAAAGTGTTCCAAATCAGCCACCATAAATAACCCTAGCACTTTTTTGCTTCGGGCACGCATCTGGGGGGAATGGATACGATATCACAGTATATAAACGACCTGTACCCTAACCGGATCTTTTGAGAAGCTCTCAACATCAGTTCCGTACAAACAGGCTAGATGTCCCATAAAACTATTTAAGACGACTTGCATTTAATCTGTGACGGTATACAAACATTTGAATCATATTAAGAAATATTTTTTCTTTGCTTATAGATACATCTATAACCAGCGTCTTTATATTTATGCGCATAAAATGCTGTGCTCTTCGCTTCGTGTTTTGTTTATGTCAACACACGCCGATTACACAAGCAAATTTATGCCTAAAATTGTTTTATTTCACTATAACTCATATCTGAATCTTAACTTTATTGTCTTACCTCGTGTTACCGCACAGACACTTGTGTAGATATCTTTGAATATTGATAAAAACGTAGTAAATAATAGAGGCGAACATTCTGATAACTGTACCCGTCTTGCTAATTTTAATGATCTGTACCCTACTTGTGTTTTCACTGAACCATAACTTCCGAGTCACTTTTGGTGATTTTTATTGTTTTTGTCCTATGTTCCAAATTACATTTTGCAGAATATGAAGTTATTGTGTCAAAAGAGCATGATACACCTTTTAGTTTTATATAAGTAACCAATACTGCACATGAATGGACCTTCATCATGTTTCACTTTCCATGGATATACCAGCATGAAGTAGCTAATACGAATTAGGAAGAAAATTATTTCTTGACAGGAATTATCAACCAACAAATTTTATTTCATAAAATACTTACCTGACATTACATTTAGGATTTCATTTCGTCCTACCTTTTGAACTCGCTTAACCGGAAGTGTGCATTTGTTTACATCCATAATGCATTGAAACAAATAACTTCCTGAAGTTTTAACCAACCAGAACACACTTCCGGTATTCCCACTTGAAATCAGTTTTCGTTTTTTGCGCCTACCGTTTAGATGTACTTTTTGTGCTCGTTTTACTAGTTTTATTTTTTATTTTACGGTGGTTATTGTTGTGTGTTTGGATTATGGCTCAAGAAGCAGTGAATTGCGTCTTGGAGCGCGAAGAA